ACGTTCTGGCCTCAGTGGTTCGGGTTCTTTCCCGGTGTTTTCTTGTTGCCTCGGAAGGCCGCGAGACAGGAAGAGATCCGCCTGAAGGAGCTGGAGAAGGCAGGGCGGAAGGTGTGCTTCCTGGGAGAGGGCAGCTCCAACACGTTTTATTGCGAGGAGAAGCGGCAAGCGGACCGGGACAAGAAGGCTGGTCAGCGATCCAGCAGCAGTACAATGACACCATCGATGATGCCGTCATCGAGTGTCTTGCTCAGCGCCTTCAGGGTTCGCTGAGGTAGTCTTTTCTGCGGCGCGCTGAGGCTGCTCAGCGCTGGGAAGAGAGGGTCATTGCTGTGTCCGCTGCGGCTGGCCAGCGATTTGCGGACTCAGTCTCCGCGTAGCTTGCGCCACAACGGCGTGTAGGATTCGGCATCCTGGCGTCACATCAACAACAACACGCCACCACCACCAGCATCACCGCCAGCACCAGCACAACCACCACCACCACCACCACCATCGCCACCACGAACCCGCGCTTTTTGATCACAGCTCCTGGCTTGTGCTCATAACTCGTGCCTTTGATCATAACTCTCGGCTTTGATCATAGCCCGTGGCCGCTGAACACTCTGGCAAGTGCTCACAACTCGTGGCTTTCAAGCAAGACTCGCGGCATTTGATCCTAACTCGTGGCTTTTGATCAAACTCGTGACTTTTGCTCAAGACTCGGAGCTTTCGATCAGAACTCGTGGCTTCGATCGTAACTCGTGGCTTTTGAACATCTCTCGTGCCTTTTGCTCGTAACTCGCGGCTTTTGATCTGAAATCGCGCCTTTTCAGTTTTTCCTCATAAGTCGTGGCCTCTGATCACAACTCCTAGCTTTTGACGTCAAGGTCGCCCTCGTCGTTGTCGTCGCGTGGTCGCTGCCGCCGCGTCGCTCGCCGTCAGCATCGTGATCGTCGTCGTCGGCACGTGGCCATCGTGCTCACATCGTTCGTCGCGTTACACCAGCACAACCACCACCACCACCACCACCATCGCCACCACGAACCCGTGCTTTTTGATCACAGCTCCTGGCTTGTGCTCATAACTCGTGCCTTTGATCATAGCTCTCGGCTTTGATCATAGCCCGTGGCCGCTGAACACTCTGGCAAGTGCTCACAACTCGTGGCTTTCAATCAAGACTCGCGGCATTTGATCCTAACTCGTGGCTTTTGATCAAACTCGTGACTTTTGCTCACGACTCTGGGCTTTCGATCAGAACTCGTGGCTTTTGATCACAACTCCGAGCTTTTGACGTCAAGGTCGCCCTCGTCGTTGTCGTCACGTGGTCGCTGCCGCGTCGATCGCCGTTAGCATCGCGATCGTCCTCGTCGGCACGTGGCCATCGTGCTCGCATCGTTCGTCGCGTTACGACGACTCTCCCGACCTTTGGGACATCAAGGATGTCCCGGCAAGGTCAGCCCCCCTTCCCGCAGGAAGGGATGCTGCCGCGGTGCCCCAAGCCACGGCCCCCGTCGTAACAGGGAGGGTTGGTCACCCGGTTCGCCCCACCGGGAACAAGATTAACAGTACGAGAAAAGCAACAACTGCAGCAGCCAAACTAAAGACGACAACACCAGCAATCGCAGCAGCAACAGCACGCCACCGCCACCAGCATCACCGCCAGCAACACCACCACAACCACCACCACACCACCACCTATTATATCGCATTAGATTCATTAGATCATCTTAAAGAATCTTCTGTAATATGTTATGCCACATTTTAACTGGTTTCTTATATTCGATCACACCACTAGTACAACCACAACCACAAGCACCATCACCACGAGGACAAAACCAACAATCACAGCAGCAAACACATGCTACCGCGACTAGCACCACCACCAGCACCACCACTAGCACCACCAGCACAAGCACCACCACCACCACCACCAGCACCGCCAGCCCCCTTCCCCCGCCGCCCCCTGGCCCCCATGTCCCAAAAGAATTGGTTGAGGCAAACCCGCATTGATTTCAAAAGGTTTCAAAGCCATTTCGGATTGTTTTGAACGGGTTTTCACATTCGAAACCCATTCGAAAAGGTAGCCTTGCACTTTTTATTGCATCTGCAAGGTGGATGTCACTACACAGATTTCGACTACGAGGCCCGCAATGTCCGTTTCAGGACACTGTGTTGCAGAGTAACTATCGGGGAAGTAGATGGAGCAAGATCAGGCCACGGTTGCCATCGACGGGGGCGCTTCCCATAACTCCCCAAGCTTGAACGTGAGGTCCTCGCGGAAAACGAACGCGAACAACACGGTTGCTCCTCGCGGGAGAAGGCTTGTTTCTAAATGTCTGTATGATTCCTTATGCAAGTGCGATCTGTTCCGACAGCCAATGCAACTGCGCGACGTCCCCAGCTCTTCCGGGCGAGAGGGCTGAAGGAACACGTGGCTTTGTGCAGTTCACCTCAACGATTCAATTCCTGCTTTCGCATTGCTGGCGCTCCTGCCAAGACGGCCGACGCTGCACACCATGAACAACTTCCGAACAGCGTCTTGCTGCAAAGACAGCATTCTGCTGTGATGCTTTGATGGAAGAAACAGGACATCGAATGTGATGGATTTATTGCGGCCTCTTCCAAGCGCCAACTCATGTGCACAGAAGGGTGTCTTTTGCAAAATCAAGCGGCCGGTCCTGCTCAGTCATGGTGGAATTTCGGCAACCAGCACATAACGAAGAAACAGGCGAACGACCTGTCGCGATTCCAATCTGATCTGCCTGGGTGACTTGGAAAGTCGCCCGGCCTCGGCTCAGGCCTTCGCCGTGTTAGCCATGGCATCCTGGACACAGGATTGTACGCGTGCACACATGGTGCAATCACAGCACGGAAAATATGCGTTCACCAGTTATGTTTCGCTGTGCAAGCAAGCGTCCGGCGAGTCAGCATTCGACTGCGCGCGGGGAGCTTCGACGTCGGAGTTGCAAACGAGCCCAAATTGTGTCATTTGCACCCCCACATGCCCAAACTGCGCTCGCACCAAAAATTACAATCATTAGGTTTCATCGGAGGCCTGTGGGGGGTTTTAAAAGTGAACATCCATATTTTACACCCTTAAACAAACAGAAAGGGACAAGGGACGCTGTGGGGCTCCGTTTTTTCACTTATGCAGCTTTGTGTGTTTTACTTACATCTGTAGTTTTGTATGTGTTTCAGTTACATCTGTTCACATTAATGTTGGTCTTATAGTTCCAGACTCTGCACCGCGAATCTTGCGCTGCA